ACAGAGGAAGGGCAGAAGGAGAGCAGCCCAGAGGGAAAGAGTGAGAGGAGGTTGAGGAGGAGGGGAGGAGAAGGAGAGCCCGAGGTGGGGAGGAGGAGGAGGAAGAAAGGAGGACAGGAGGTGGACAGGAGGAAGAGAGAATTAGGAGGGGAGGAAGACGGGAGGAGAGGAGGTGGAAGAGGAGGAGACTATAGCACCCTTATCAGCCTCCAGTTCTTGGTGCACCCCGTTCTGCGAGACACTCTCCTGTGGTCCGCCCTGGCCTGCAGGGGATCCCCACGCTGAACCTCTGAGGAAGGCTGGCACCCTCTCTCCAGCACATTCCCGGTGCCCTTGCTGAAGCATGTGTCCTCAGGGCCCTCTCCTGAAACATGATCCTCCGAGGTGTCTTCTGGCCTCACCTCTTCTGTCCAGATCCAGCAAGCTCACGTTGCTCAGCCGTTGAACCCCTTCCTTCACCGTCTGCACTGACAGTCCGGGCCTTTCACCATCACTCAGGCATGGACCATCGCTGTTGCCCATCCCATGCCATCCACAGGTTTGCCCCATCCCTTCGGCTGCCTGCCGGGGCATTGGGTTGTGTTTAGCAGCAGAGTGTCTCCAAGTCCCTGACCTAGTCTTCGTTTCCAGCCCCCACAGGTTGAGCTGCATCTGGGTCCCATCCCGCAGGGACACCCCCGGCCGCTGCAGGTGCGTGCTGATCCTGCAGCTCCTCAGGGATGTCATCCCTTTGCCCCTTACCAGGACTGGCACATCCTGCCCGTGCAGCTCTGTGCTGCAGCTTCCCTCTGGTCACGGGTCTGGCCGTCGGCTCACCGATTCCTCCAGCTTCCACGGGACTCTCTGGGTGTTAGCACTGCAAGTTCCTCAGCAAACTGGGACTGTCGGTCACCTACCTGGCAGCCAGTGATAAGGTGAGGGCCACCCCTGGGAGGGAGGACACCTGTGGGGAACATTCTTGTGGGATTTATTTCTCCTTCAGGGTAGGGTGCCTGCACTGGCTCTTGCTGGGCTGATGCTGCAGACTCAGAAGTTTCAAGGGCATCTGGGGAGATTAGATATTCAGAGACCTTCTCCTAGATGTCCCTGTTCCATGTATCAGGCACGCAGCTTTCCCCAACAGGGCCTGTGTCGTTGGCATGATAGACCTGCCTTGGTTGAGCGTTCAGCTGTCTTTGGAGTTCAGCCACCTTAGCAAGTCCTGGGTTTGTTCTTCAGATTTTGCTGCTCGCCCATTGCCTGGATCGGGGGCTACTTTGTAAACCACCAGGACGACTCCAGTGCTTCTGCTTAATTTTTAGACGTTTGTTGATTGCCCTTGGCCTCTCATTAACCCCGTGTGCGTCATCCGGGCAACGTAGTCACCACCATCCACTCCCTGAGTTTCCATTTCCAGACGTCCGTCCTGCCTGGGTCTCCTCACCTGCCAGGAACTTCCTCTTCACAAGCTACCCGTCCCATCAAAAGCTCTAACACCAAAGATCTAGCAACTAGGCTGCCATTTTGTGCCTGGAGCCACCTGCATGCCACCTATGCCCAAAGATGGGAACCTCGTTGCCTCCTGGGCAGTTGCAGGGTGATCCTGTACCAAGACTCCATCTTACAACTTGCTGTCTTGGACCACTCTGGAACCCACTGTCTCAGATTGGGTCCTTTAGGAAGCAGACCGTGAGAGGGAGTTGGCAGGGCCAGAGGTTTACCAGGGCTAACTTGCACTCAGGAAAGGGACAGGAAGGAAGCAGGGCTGGAGAGCAGGTTGGGCCAGACCTGACAGTCTCGAGCAGCCCAAGAGGGAGGTGTGGAGCAAGGGTTGCCCATTAGAGGGACCTGCATTGGGCATGGGTGGTGGGGTCCACATGGTACCTGGCACACAGCAGGCCGTGCAATCCATCTTAACTGACTGGATGAATTAATGCCAAGGAAAGGTGCTCTGGATAGCGGGTATATGCTGAGCAGCACAGGGAAGGGCCCAGCATCTGTCTTTGCACAGCCAGAACTGTGCTGTGCCCTGCAACAGGCCACCCGAGAGCTGCTTTGAGCTTGCGTGTGCATTAGACAACTCTCAGGGGCACGAAGCTTTGCTGGCAGGGCGCCTCGTGACCTGTTGGTATTGGTGTGAGCACAGCCTGGCAGGAGAGGGCAGATCTCGGCACAAAGTATCATGTCAAAAAGCAGATCAGAGCCCGGCCCCCTCCTGGAAGAGGCTCCTTGAGGGTAGGTGCACGCTCATGCCTTTGTTACTTATAAGGGGGCATCTGACAGGCAGAAGGAATTAGGTGAATGGGAAGAGGGAGGGACTGCTCACTCTGGGCAAGGGACTGGGGGAGGCTTCTCAGAGGAGGGGGTGTTCGAGTGGCGTCTTGAAGGCCGAAAGGGTTTTGTTAGGTGGAAAATGGGGGAGTGACAGCCTGTAAGAGTTAGGTACATTCAGGGAGCCCAGAGAAGGTTTGTGGCTGGACCAGATCCATTTGTAGAGTGAAGTCGTGGGAGAAGAGGCTGGGAAACTAGGTTGGGTCCAACTCCTAAAGGCCCACTGAAGGAATGTGGGCTGCATGCTGGGTGCAGCAGCTGAGTGTCCTCACTTGTGTTGCACTGTCAGCATTTTAAAAAGGCAAACCGTGGTTCTCTTACAGAGAAGAATTCATTGATTCACTCATGAGGCCAGCAAGTCATCTGACAAACCTTCCTGTACTTCTGATGGGGCAGGAGTGTTTCTAGACAACAGGCACACAAATATAAGATCCAGCCCAGTGCAGCTCAGGAGCAGCCTTCCACGGATCAGTGGCTGGTACCTCCGGCATGCTCCTGTCCTTGCCTATCTGAACATATGGGTAGTAACCTTAAGCAGTCTCCTGACTTGTCTCAGTCTCCTGACTTGTGATAATGTTTCCAATTCTTGTTCTTGACTGTAGAATGAAGTTTGGAGAGATGTCGTTAGGTCTCTAGGTTCTGAGGATTACTATGGGGTAGGCAGAGGGAGAGAAGCGTGTTGGGGCCAGATGTTCCCGTGCTTCTACCAGAAACTTGATTTGCCCAGTGTACCACCCTCACTTGGTGGGTGTAAGCAGAATGGCCTGCCACTGACAACCCAGAGAAAGAAGGTACAGCGCGGGCTTGCCCTGGTGGGCTCTTGAATGCCCTGAGCTGCAGCAGCATCCAGGGCCAGGTGGTACTTGGTAGGGCCAGCCCCCCACCCACTGTGTCTGATCATACTGCCTTTGAAAGAGGAGGGTAGGTGATGAAGACAAGATGATGAGATAGGGTGGCCTCACACCCAACTGGAACATTTGCAAATGATACTTGGCGAAAGCTTTAGGAAAGAGGCCGCTTCATTTATGAAATGATACTAGCTAATGTTTGACCTTAGTCATATGTTGCTTGATTCCTCGGTTTGCCATCTGCTGGCTGACCCATACAACTTCACTTTTAATTAAAGGTGGGTTGTGATCAGAGTCATGATCTCTGAGTGGCTTCCACAGCAGAAAGTTCTGTGCACTTCTTGGGGGATGTAAGTAGGAGGCGCTAAAACTAATATGTCCATATATTATAAACTATTTCCTCTCTTCTTTCCCTTCTCTAACCATTCCTGCCTTCTTCGTCTTTCTAACTTTCCTGAGGCATTTTACATCAGATTCCAGATACAGAACAACGGATGTTAAAACAAACCCAAATTCCTAATGCTTGTTATCATGAAAACATGGCAACACAGTTCACATGTTCTTTTGAAATGGCCTATATGGTTCAGTCCAGGCATTAACATAGGAGCTCATTGTTTGCATCCTCTGGGTCCTTGTAGTTCATATGATGGGCCAATGTATAGAGGCACACAGAAGGGCTGAGAATGTGGCCATGAGGTAGGTAACAACAAGGCCCAAAGCCTGGGCTTTGGTGTCTAGCAGACCTGGGTTTGAATGGCAACTCTTTGTCTTCCTGTGTGACCTTGTCAGTTACTCGTCTCTCTGTGTCTCCCTCTCCTCTCCTATAAACCAGGAGGCACAAATGCCACTCATTTCACAGGGCTGTTGCTGGCACACACCCTTGCACCTTGTGTTCTCTCTCTGGGATTCAGGCTCTCAAGTTTGCTTCTACATTTACAGGTTGGAGATTATTCCAGAAACACAGATGAAAGATTTTTTTAATTTTGGGTTTCTCAGCTTTGCAAATTTCAGAGATTTCCAACAGTGTTCAAGGGACTGCGATATGATCTTGGCAAAATCTCGTATACTCTTTGAAGGATCTCAGTTATGCTATCTCGGAAATGAATTGGTTACCCTGGAACATGGTTTGCGAACCTATGTGGGCAGACAATGTCATTTTGGAGGGATACTTTTACAGGATATAAGAGTATGAGTTGAAAGTTGGCTTTTTTATTTGTTTGTTTGTTTGTTTGAGACAGAGTCTCACTCTGTGGCCCAGGCTTGAGTTCAGTAGGGCAATCTCGGCTTACTGCAACCTTCACCTCCTGTTTTCAAGCATTTCTTCTGCCTCAGCCTCCCAAGTAGCTAGGTTTACAGATGCGTGCCACCATGCATGGCTAATTTTTGTGTTTTTAGTAGAGATGGGGTTTCACCATGTTGGTCAGGCTGCTCTTGAACTCCTGACATCAGGTGATCTGCCTCCCAAAGTGCTGGGATTATAGGTATGAGCCACCACACCCGGCTGAAAGCTATTTTCTTTAAGCCCTTGAAAAAAAATTGTGCCGCTTCCTTTTGGTATCCATGGTTTCTGATGAGTAATCCCCTTTTTGGAATCATTTTGTCCATATAGGTAAGGTGTCACTTCTCTCTCATTGCTTCCAAAATTTTATTATTATTATTATTATTATTATTATTGTCATTATCTTTTAAAGACAAGATCTCACTTCATTGCTCAGGCTACAGAGCAGTGTTGCAATTATAGCTCACCATAACCTTGAACTTCTGGGCTCAAGCAATCCCCCTGCCTCAGTTTCCCAGGTAGCTAGGACTACAGGTATGAGCTGCCATGCCTAGCTATTTTTGTTTGTTTGTTTTTATTTAATAGTTCTCAAAACTTTAACTCAAATGTTTTAATGTAGATTTCTTTGGATTTATTCTGTTTGGGGTTTGTTCAAGTTCTGAAGTCTGTAGGCTATGTCTTTTGTTAAATTTGGGAAATTTTCAGCCATTATTTCTTTGAATGATTTTTCAGTCTCATGCTTTTTTTCATCTCCTCTGGAACCCTCATGACACAGATGTGAGATCTTTGTTCATAGTCACACAGGTCCCCAAATCTCGGTCCATTTTGTTTTCCCGTGTATTTTCTATTCATTTTTCAGACTGGGAAATATCTGTTCTGTCTTCAAGTTGACTGGTTCTTTGTTCTGTCTATTCTGGCAGTGATTCCTTTATAGCATTTTAAAAATTTTAGTTATGGTATTTTTCAGTTCCAAAATTTCCATTTGGTTCTTCATTATGTCTTCTATTTTTTTTCTTTTTTGGCTGAGACTTTCTATTTTTAATTTGTTTCAAAGTGTTCTTCATTGCTCAATGAAGTATTTATATAATGGTTGTTTTCAATTTGTTTTGCAGAGAATTCTGACATGTTTATCATCAGTGTTGATATCTATTGATTGTATGGTGTTATACCATTTGAGATCTTCCTGGTTCTGGGTATGATGTGTGACTTTAGATTAAAATCTAGACATTTTCATTTTATGTTACTAGGCTTGAGGTATGATTTAAACTTTGTTTTAGCTGGCATTGTCTGACATCACTCCAGCAGAAGAAAGGGGAGGATTGCGCTACATTACTGCATGGTGAGTGTAGCAGTCTACCTTTCCCACATGGCCTCCATTGATCCCTGAAATGGGTGGTGGGGGGACCTTGTTTCTTCTGGGCAGGAGTGGACTTTTTAGATCTGGTCTTGGGCCATACTAATACCTCTGTGGCTGGGATGGTTCGATATTTTTCAGCACTGTATCCACCATTACCTACACAGACACCTTGGGGGATGGGGACTTGCTATTGCCTGGCAGGGATGAAAGTGCCAGCTCCCTAATTGGCCACCTCCAACAGCACCAAGGTAGACAGGAGGGATGTTACAGGTTAGCAAGGATGTTACACTGAGCCCCCTAGTTGGCCTTTACTGGCATGTATAGAAGTGGGGATCAAACTATATTTCTGTGGTGTAGAGTAAAGCAGCTTACTGTCTAAACGTTTCTTATCTTGCTAAATTACAACGTTCCTGGTCCTCTGGCTTTGGTCCTTCTTTCTTCCCTGCCTTCCTGCCTCCATTTCCTCCCTATTTTCCTTCATTCCTTCTTTCTTCTTTTTTCTGTGACTGCTGACATTTCTGGATCCCAACATCTTCAGTTCCATGCCTGGTATATATGGGCAAAGAAAGAAAAAAGAAAGAGAGGGAGACAGAAAGAGAGAAAGGGAAGAAGAGAAAAGGAGAGGAGAGAAGGGGGAAAGAGACAGAAAGAGAGAAGAAAAGAGAGGGAGGGAGGAAGGGAAAAGGAGAGGATAGGGAAAGAGACAAAGAAGGGAAGGGAGGAAGGGGAAAAGAGGAGAGGGAAAGAGACAGGGAGAGAGGGAAAGGGAAGAACAGAGGAAGGGCAGAAGGAGAGCAGCCCAGAGGGAAAGAGTGAGAGAGGGGGGAAGGGAGGAAGGGGAAAGGAGAGGAGAGGAAAGGGAAACAGAGAGTGTGTGTGTATGTCCCCCAATCTGATACAATGGCAGAATACAACAGCCCATGTAGTACACGTGTGAAAAACGTTTACCATGAATGCAGTCATGTGGAAACAATCAGACAAATCCAGGCTGTGGGACGCTGTATAAGACACCTGGCTTGGATACTTATAAAAAGATGAGGTCAGGGAGATAATGGAGCCAGAACATATAAGGCCACTGTGACGACTTCTACTCAGACCAAGAAGGAAACATAAGAGACTCCTGTGCCGGGCTGTGACATGACTTGACTTGGGTTTTAATGGGATCACTGTGGCCGCTCTGAGGAGGAAAGCCTAAAGGGGATCGAGGGCACAAGCAAGGAGACCATTTAGCAAGCTGTTACAGTACTTCAGCACAAGATAGTGGCAGTCTGGACCAGGGTGGTGGCAGAGGAAGTGGTGGGAAGTGGTACACACAGAGTCTGAATGGAGTGACAGGCTTGCTCACAGACTGACTATTGCGTACGGAGTAAGAGAAAAACGGGTTGAGATGATTCCAGGATATTTTTGGCATGAGTCACGAGTCCCATTTCTTGAGGACAAGAAGAGTGTTGAAGGAAAGGCTGAAGATGCAAGATGTGAAGTGTAGCTCTGGACATGTTAGACCGGCCAAGCGGGAAAGGGTGTTGGAAACAAAAGTCTGAAGTTCAGGGAAAAGATAACAGGCTAGAGATAAAATCTGGAAATAAACTGAAAGGCAGTACAGTTACACGAATTTCTAAATTGCTGAACACTTCCCAACAAAAGTTGTGGGAAAGATCCTCAACCAGTCAGAAGAACTTTCCCAGCAAACAAAGGGCTAACATCACACCTTGCAACTGTTAACCTTTCTATCAGTGACATGAAAGAAGACAGCGGCACGCAGTGCACACAAATCAACTGTGCAGAAAGTAAAATTGGGTAGTATAAAGCAAGTTCAGAAAGATCCAGAAGGCCAGAATGATGGTCCAGAACCAAGACAAATTTAAATAGGAATCAATACACAGTACAGGATTTAGATGTTAAGGATGGACTAAATGCATAAGTCCAGAAAGGGGGCAACCTGGTTTAGTGTGGTTCATAGAAGAGGCACTCCAAAAAGAGCAAACGTCATACATCACTTCAGAGATAGTACACAGCTTGTCTCTGAAATGCACTGGGAAGATCGAGTCAGGATAGAACTCACAAGAACCCACACAGGTTGCCCACACATCCAGGAAGGGTGTCTGGTCCAAGTGATATTCTGGAAGTGCTTTCTCAAACTGAAACTTTTTGGGAGACAGAGACCAGGACAACCATGGGTCTAAATACTACCTTGTGACGAATAGGTGAAGCACTGGGGATTTCAGCCTGGAGAAGAGAAGGTATTGGTGGAGGGATGGGGTAGGGGTTATCACTGCTGTTTTCAAAGCTTTGAAGGACTGGCACATGGAAGTCAAAGTAAACTTGTCCTTCACTGCTGGGGAGGGCAGAGTAGAATCACCTAGTAGATTTCACAGATCTAGTGGTTCACCGTATTGATGAGCTGTCGAAATGGAAAATGTACCCCCCCCCCCCACAAAGAAGGCTGAGTCCCTACCAAAAGGATGTAGCCAGGAAAAGGATTCTATTCATCTGTTATGGGGGCAGCCCCTTCCTCTAAGCTCTGGAGCAGACTCCTGTAGACTGTACCACAGCTCTCCCCATCTTGGGGATGCACCTGATCCTTTGTCCATCATCACCCCACAAGGCTCCTTGTGGACAGGGGCCATACTTGTCAGTTCTAGTTCTGTCAGTCTTTCC